TGTACATCCTCCTGCCACACTTGCTTCACCCATTTGCATTTCAGAAAGAGGTTAATCTCATCCTCATCAAGTCGTATACATACCGGGCACCGGGTATCAAGATGTACATGTTTGAATGTGGCATTTTGGAGACTGAGCTCCACCAAGCCCTTAATTTTAAATTTTTCATAATTTAAACTTTTCACTCTAAAAAACTTCTAAAAACATTACACGTGTATACAAGGATGTAATGTGTATGTGTGTAAAATTTCAGAATGAAATACCTTGAATTGCGAGCTGCACAAAAAAAATTCATGTACTATAAGGATTAATAGTACATATGCTAAAAAGCCCCGGTTTGATTTTTTTTAAACACGGTTCCTTAGGGCCCGATTTATTAAAAAAGATCGAAGAGAGTTGCCCAGTTAATTAGCGGAAAACCGGGCTAAAACCGCTACAACATGCCCGCCAAAACAGGGCATCCTGGGCGACCTGGCAACCCACACAAGAACGCACACACGCCATCAAGGAGAGAACGTCGTCGAGGTTGAATCCGGTGCCATCGTCATCACATCTCCACGAGGACGACTCCGACTCCACCATCAACGACCACCGATGTAGCCCTCACTGCAAGCAAGCGTCCAGGTCTGCATCGGTCGATGCCAAACAGTCAACCGCACGCGCCGGCCATCAGGCAGCTCCGACTCTGTCGACGAGCATTGCAGGAGAAAAAGCGTTGTGCCTGCGCCGAGCCAGCGCTGGAACCGGCCACCTGTCTCGTGTCATCGTCGCCGCAAGGGCCCCTCCTCAGCAGCTCCGACTTCAGAAAGACAAAGTGAGGCACGGCGACTCCTCGAACACGCCGGATGAGACCGACTACCAACGCACAACAGCAACCCAACTCCGCTTGAAGCCACCATCGTTGCCTCACAAGAAGCCGCGCAGAACATCCACATCACTGACCGGGCACCTGCCGACTGCAATGCCGCGAGCTTCCAGCCCATGGAGCGTGTAGACGAGATCCAAAGCTCTTGAAGACGACGCCCCAAAGAGGGCAGCGACGATGTCGACGCCGTCGCCCGACCCGACCGGGCCTTAGACTTTCACCCGAAGAGTTGAATCCGAGAGTGTGTAGGGGATGGACTCCACGACGGTGCCTCCAAGAAGGTAACATGACGTCCACGGACGCCGACATCTTCGGCTGACCAAAGCTAGGCAAGCTTTCACCCGGATCACCGCCCAACACCACACCCCCACGCACCGCACCTCCGCTAGCCCGCCCACCTCCCACAAAGCCATTGCGCCATGACCATGAGGAAGCCGCTAATTTTTTTAAATAATACATTTTTAATTAATTTGCATAAATATTACGTCGATATTTTTATTTTTAAAAATAATACACCATCGGCCTGCTGCAGGCTGACTGGGCCTAGTCAGCCCACCGCAGGCTGATTGGCTTCCAGTCGGCCCGCAGCAAGCCGACTGGGACTAATTAGCTTGCTGCGAACCAATTAGTTCCAGTCGGCTTGCTGCGGGCCGACTAGGTGCATGCCGACATTTTTTTTGTTTCTGGTTTTAGTTGTTGTTTTCTATTTATTCTATCTATCAAATGAATCTGGTTTGTGTTGAAACTTTTTGCATAAATTACTAGCAATACTAACAAGTCACATATAAATTTTCATAATTTTTGGAAAACCACATATTTACAATTGTATTAGGTAGCTCCCGGTGAATATAGATAGGGTTTAAATTTATCTATCCAAATTGATTTTTTTATTTTTATAGATGTTAAAATATCGAGGAGAATAGTTTAAAATTGTCTGTGAAACAATTTGAGAATACTTTTTGGCTTATGAAACAATTTGAAACAATTTTTGTGAAACAATTTGAGGAAAATTATTTTTTGGCTTATGAAACAATTTGAGAATACTTTTTTGGCTTATGTTCCTCAAATTGTTTCAAATTGTTTCATAAGCCAAAAAAATTTCTCAAATTGTTTTACAAAAATGTTTAAATCATTCTCCTCAATATTTTAATATTTATAAAAATAAAAAATCCAATTTGGATAATTAAATTTAAACCCTATCTATATTCACTAGGAGCTATCAAATACAAATCTAAATATGTGGTTTTCCAAAAATTATGAAAATTTATATGTGGCATGTTAATATTGCTAGTAATTTATGCAAAAAGTTTCAACACAAACCAGATTCATTTGATAGATAAATTAAATAGAAAACAACAACTAAAACCAAAAACAGAAAAGGAAAAATGGCCATATGCCCCTAGTCGGCCCACCACAGGCCCTCCAGTCGGCCCGCCGCAAGCCGACTGGGACTAATTGGTTCGCAGCAAGCCAATTAGTCCTAGTCGGCTTGCTGCGGGCCGACTGAAAGCCAATCGGCCTATGGTGGGCCGACTAGGCTCAGTCAGCCTGCAGCGGGCCGATGGTATATTATTTTTGAAAATAAAAATATAGATGTAATATTTATACAAATTAATTAAAAAATGTATTATTTTTAAAAAAATAGCGAAGAAGCCACCAATCCTCGTCGCCGTCCAGAGGCGCCGACGACCCGAATCCAGCTAGATGCGACACCCCATCACCGCTGCACCGCCACAGAACTTGCCCGACCGACAGCCTCCCGAGATGCCGCTAGTAGGGAGGCGCAGCCAACGCGGAGCACACCAACATAGCACCTGAAGGAGCCGCTGGGGAGCGCCATGGAGCCGCCAGGTCGCCGGGAGCCACGCCATGGCCAGATCCAGCAACCTGCACACCACCGGCCGGCACCATAGAGCAGGACGGAGAGGGCCACCACCCCACACCGACGCGCCGGATAGGAGCCACCGCGGCCGCCACCCGCCGGAGGCTCTGCAGGGAGCCGAGCTGCCGCGCAGAGAACAGGATGGGGCGAGCCTCCCCCACCCAAGATCCAGACGCAAGAGAAGATCCCCGTCGCCGCCGCCCGCCGCCCGGGCTTAGCCCGGGGGCCTCCTCCGGCGACGGCGAGGGAGTAGTGGCGCCGCTCGATCTGGTCTCCGCCCGTGTCGCCTGTAGAGGCGACGCGGGGGACGAGGGTCAGGGTAGACTGGTGAACATAGCAACTGATAAAGTTTCCCGGATTGAATTTTGAAGTTCTTAAATTAAGGCCTCCATAAAGCCTCCATAAAGCTCGGTCTTCATTTGGCATTTCCGCACATGTTTTATTTTATCTATCTTTAGGAGCAGGTTGTTGTTTTTTTGGTACATCCGTCATGGACTTTTCTCGCCGCCGTCTGCTGACACGATCCCATGGCAGTAGGTGTAGCTGCCCATCTCAATCCAGGCAACGCCATGGAACTGGTGGAGCCCATCGGCCATCGTGGGAGCAAAAAATCCATTTTAAATCGAAAAGATGGTAAGTACTACTCCTAGAACAGCAGGCGGCTAGGCGCCGGCAAATGCTAAAGTAACGTACATAATGGTCATCGTGGCTGATGTATGTTGATGCACGAGCAACTAATGCCATCCACTTACCTACTCCGCACAAAAGTCGGTCTAGTTTTAGTCCAGTACTCCCTCGGTTTCATAGTATAAGAGCATTTTTTTACACTAGATGGAAGTAGTTTTTTCTTTTTTTTTTGCGAAATTTACTCTAGTTTGCTTCAATAAACGACAGCACAGCACTTTGTATTGCTGATGAATTTTATGGATTTGTTTGGCAAGTTTTTACCGTCACGTCTACATTGACCGCTGCAGGTTCAGACTGCATCTACATATTCAGGTTCAGGTTCAGGTTACAGTCACACTCACTCGGGCAACCCAAAGCAGAACCCACCCACCCACCAGAAGGCCCCTGGCACGGCATCCCCGCCCCCTCCCTCCCAAAGCCAAAAGAAGAAGCCGGGAGACGAGAGCATGGAGGTCGCCGCGGCGAAGCCCATCCTCCGCGTGGCCGCCGTCTGCGGCTCCCTCCGCAGGGCCTCCTACAACCGCGGCCTCCTCCGCGCCGGTACGCACGCTCTTCCGCCCATCCTCTTCTCCCCTTCTTATTACTCGCACTAGTCTTCTGCTGACCCGCCGTTGACCGGCTAGCGGCGGAGGTGTGCGAGGAGTCCATCCCGGGGATGCGCGTGGAGCACGTCGACATCTCCGCGCTGCCGCTGCTCAACACCGACCTCGAGACGCCCGACGGGGGCTTCCCGCCCGCCGTCGAGGCCTTCCGCGAACGCATCGCCAGCGCCGACTGCTTCCTCTTCGGCTCGCCAGAGTACAACTACTCCATCGCGAGTAAGTGCTCGAATGTCTCCCCTCCCCATCTCTGTAATTTTAGCCTCGTTTTCCTGCCTAGCACTCCTCGATTGCTGAAACCATATATATGTCGCCCAAATTGGCAGTCGCTGCTGCTGCCACACAAATTGACATGGATATAATTTGCAATTTATATCGGCCAGCGTAATTTGGAGCGTCTCTCCTTAGTGATGTGTAATGTTGCGTACACTTGTTTCGTCTCAATTCCACGAAGGATTTTGTTATCTGGAACTGTCGGTAATAGAGACTAACTCTGGTGGCATAGTGCGACGTCTGACAAGGTGGATTCACATTTTGTTCTCGTGGTGCTGAAGTGGTGGGTTTCGTTTGATTCCCATGATGCCCAATTTCTCTCATGATGCCCAGTTAGTGCAGTCCTGTCAGTAGATGTCGCTAAAGTAGCGATTAAGGAATGCCCAAAGTTTAGTATGGGGACAGTAAACATGCCATCATCTAGTATTGGAAGTTCCTTTATTCCTTTCTTGCAAATTTTTTATATAAAGAAAAAGGGCCTCGATATTCTATCCTATCCTTTTAGCTCACTTTAATGTAGTTCAGTGATAACTGGCACAGCTGAAAAACGACCCGATCCAATTCTGGCGCACCGAATACCCAGCTGATCTTCCCTCTACCCCTGCTCAACAGCAACCAACATTCTTGTACTAGTTGTTGCTCAGTTAAGTTTGCTTCACATGATTGCCCGTCCTGTAACAGCTCCAGATCTTACTCTGTCTTTCAGTAGTTATATAAGATAATTGAGCAGTCTTAACAAACAATTATGGCAATTTGATACTTGGCTGTTTCACTTATATTAATTTCAGGATGGATCTAAGATATTACTAGCCATCTATTGCATTTAGCTCCTACTGGCAATCCAACTATAGAAGTAATTTAGCAGTATATCTCAGCACTGCCAGATATCCTAAGACTATGTTGCTGTGAACTACTCACACTGACTGTAAAACTTTGTTCAGTACTATTAATTGACAGTGGTTGCCCCTATTTTGCTTGATCCTTGCGATGGTTCTCATCAAGTTATCTTGCTGTTTTCCCTCTTTGCTGTGCCTTTTCTCATGAACCCGACCAAGATGTTGAGCCTAATACACTCTCTTATACAACATTGCTGAATGGAAGCCAATTTTTTTAGAAAAACATGGCAGCCAAATTGAGCCATTAGTGCTTGAACCAGTATCTGGGACATAAAATTGGAATTCTGAAAAATGTCATAATCAATAATTTTATGATGTTGTTGGTCCATAGTCCATAAATACCAGGTGTGATGGAATACCATGCTTAGTTTACGTGCGAAATAAAATAATCAGTTGACGTAACACCTTATTGTCTGGACTCTGGAGCAAAAGGACAAATAACTAACCTGAAAAATTCAGTTATTATGAAGCTTGAAACAAGCTGTAGTTGTAGAAAATGGCTTAGGCGAGAAGGCCCAATAGACACTAGTTCAGTGATTCCTGAACTGGGAACAGAGGCGCTGCTTTTCCTGTTAGATTGTACTGTATCATTGATGCTCGTATATGTGTTTGCTTCACATGCTATGTTTCAACTGCAGCCCCTCTGAAGAATGCACTTGACTGGGCTTCTAGGGGAAAGAATTGCTGGGCAGACAAACCTGCTGCGATTGTCAGCGCAGGAGGTGGCTTTGGAGGAGGTAGATCGCAGTACCATCTCCGGCAGGTCGGGGTGTTCTTAGATCTTCATTTCATCAACAAGCCAGAGCTGTTCGTCCAAGCATTTCAGCAGCCGCCCAAGTTTGACAGTGATGGTAATCTGATTGACGCCGAAATCAGAGAGCGTATCAAGCAAGTGCTCTTGTCCCTCCAGGCCTTCACACTCAGGGTCCAGAAGAAGGATTGAAGCAGCGCATGAACGTGTTATTATTTTGCAATTCTTATTTGGTGTTTTGTGCTGTGAGTGTTGTATAATATGCCTTATTTGATGATATTTTTACTTCACATTCAGGTAATGTGTTGTCAGCAGACTGAAATCTGTAATAAATCTGCTGCTCTACTGTTTGTGGAGTGTTTAATGATTTGGTATCGAGGTTAGTTTTCATCTCTAGGAATCAAGGTTATTTTTCCTTTCCATGGAAATGATACATCGACACTTTCCCCTCTGTAAAGCATTATGAGGGTTTATCATACACCTTGTCCTGCAAATTCTGTCCGTTTTCCAGCATACTACCATATGACATATACTCGGCATTTTTCTTGATTGTACAACTGAAATATTGGCTTATATGACTGCCATGCACAAATTGGCTGATCCTGTTGTCCTCCGTAAGAGATAAACTATACCCCTGTTTTCTAGGTTTAGTTAGATCGACATAATGCCGACTTCTCTGTGAACATTTTGTGTTTCGTTTCACGCAGTACGAAGCACACATGGCAGAATGATACACAAAATTTAAGTTCCAAAACTGGTTGCAAATCATTATGTTGACGAACTTAGTGCTACAGCCTGTGTCCAAATTATATATTCTCATCTCTTTCCATTTTTCTTTCTCAAGAACGGTTGTGCATGTCATGTGGCCCTGAAGCAAAGCAAGGGCTGCCGAATTGGTTGCGAAGTTGGTAGCATGATATGGATTGAAGTTTGAAGTATGATAATTACGATGAGAATTTAGACAAGGAGATGTTTTTTTTTACATTTGCCACGGTAAGAGGTAAGAACCTTGAGGTGAACCAGCAAAGAAAGTGATACTATTCATGTCCTCAAAACAATAGTAAGTGTGCAAGTTTATGAACATCCAAATGCTTTAGGAATCATGTCGTGCTGCTGGCATAAAATTGGACAATACACTCAGAAATGAAACAAAAAGGATACCGACTAAGAACACAGAGATTTCAGCTCCAAAGTCGGTAGCAAATCGTTCTGATGAACAAAACAAAAAGAGGCTACCAAGTATATCCAGATATTTATTGCTCACCTTTTCTTTTTCTTTCTCCAGAATCCTGCATGTGGCCATGAAGTAAGTGCGGCCAATCACTGTGACACACTTCCTGAAGTAGATGTTGTATTTTTAGCGTACTCTGCTTCGATCTTGTTCAGCCTCAAGACTACATCGCTCATCGTTATCCTATCGCGTGGCGAGTCATTGGAGCAGAGCAAACCAATCTCTAGTATTGGCGCAAGAAAACCAATGTCCGTGTCGGAGCATTGCAGTAGCCGTCTATCCACGGCATGGACAAGCTGATTCGCCTGAAATAACTGGTGAACCCATCGTCTAAGGCTCAGTTCTCCAACAAACATAGCATCGGTCGGCCTCTTTCCGGTGAAGACTTCAAGGAGCATGATTCTGTAACTGAACACATCGCTCTTTCGTGATGCTTCCCCATACGACCCATACTCTGTGCAAAAAAAAAAGGATAAACACAACTTTCAATGTGATTGGTCAATAACAGTAAAGACGGCTTAACAAAAGGTGATACACTGAGCAAGATGATCAGTAGTACTAAGTACCTGGTGATATGTAGCCGGTTGTGCCATGCATGCTTATCGAGAATACAGAGCTATCATCAATTTCTAGTAGTCTTGCAATGCCAAAATCTGCCACATGCGCAATCATGTCCTCATCAAACAACACATTGCTTGGCTTCAAGTCGCAATGTAAAACAATTTCATGGTAATCATGGTGTAGATATTCCATTGCCATTGACACATCGAGCATAACACCCAGCCTCTCGCGAAGCCCAAAAAGTCTTTCGCCCCCTTGTGAGTAGTGAAGCAGTGTCTTTAAGTTGCCATTGGACATGTACTGTAACACCAACGCTCTGAAATCCTTGTTAGAACAAGTGTTGATTATTCGTATCAGGTTGCGGTGCCGCGCCATGCGAAGCACACGGCACTCGGCGTCAAAGCTTCTAATGGCACACTTGGACTGCATGTCAAGAACCTTTATTGCAACCACTAAACCGCTGCTCAGTTGTCCCTTAAATACCTTTCCACAGCCTCCAGATCCCAACAAGTTATCTTCACTGAAATTATCAGTGGCATTAACAAGCTCAAGGTGGGAAACTATCTGATGGCTTGCTAGATCTGTCAGATCATCAAACGCTTTGATCATACCTTTTTTGAGTTTGTTTCTCATCGATTGGTAGTATAAGAGCATCTCCAACAGCCGCGCAACGCGCCGCGCGCAAAAAAGTCATTTGCCGCGTGCCGTTCGCCTGGTTTGACGCGGCCGGCAGCGGTGGCTCCAGCAGACACGTTAAAATTGAGCGCGCGCGTAGCTCCAGCGGCCGCGCTAAAATACAGCGCGCGCTAAACAGTGCGTACATTTTTTTTAATAAAATTCATAGATAGAAAAAACAATACATAGATATTTTACATAGTTCCATAGCATAGGTAGATAAAAAATATTTAAATAGTGCAAGGACATAGATAAAAACTACTAGTGCAGCTACGGCCTACTCCCAGTCGTCGTGGTCATCGTCATCGTTGCCATCCTCGCTGGTCTGATCCAGGTATCGAGCCACATGTCTTCCCAAAGATCATCATCAGATGTAAAGATCGTCTCACCATCATTCTCAACTACATCGCACTGGGATAGCCCCAGGGCCTTCCGCCGATGCCTGTCCAACCGCTCAGCGCGGCGCCTTTGCATCTCCTCCTCGCGGCGCCTTGCCCAGTAGGCTTGCTCGTAGGATACGTCCTCCGGCTGTTGTTGGCGCCACTCCGCCATGACCCGCTCGTCCTCATGGGCGACGAGGAGGCGATTCTGCCGCTCAGCGTGCTCCGCACGGTCTTGTGCCGTGCGAAGACGAGGCGGCGGGGCGACGTCCAGCGCCTGCTGCAGCGTGTGGACATCGTGGAAGTTCATCTGCTGGCGCGGCCTGCCTAGGCGCCACGCCGCCGCGTCGTACGCGCGGGCGGCCTCGTGCGCCGTCTCGAAGGTGCCGAGGCCGAGCCGGAGTTGGCTGGACCATATCTCCGAGTAGAACCCGCCGTTGGGGCGCTGGCGGACGCCGCGGTAGCCCGACACTCCTCGGCGGCGCGGTGGCATGGTGGCGGGGCGCTGGAGCGGTGGCGCGGGTGGCAGCGGAAGCAACCGAGAAGCGGTGGAGGGGCGTGTGGCAACGGAAGAGGAAGAGAAGCGTGTGCAATAGGCGTGTGGTGCGCGCCGCATTTTATAGGCGCGCCGGAAACGGTGCGGCAAAAAAAGCGCGCGACCTGCCGCCTTTTTCCACGCGCGCGATTTTCCCGCAACCGCTGGAGCGTGCCGAAACGTCCCGCGCGCCCAAAAGACTCGGTTTACCGCGCGCGTGCTTTTTACCGCGGCTGTTGGAGATGCTCTGAGCAAATAGCAATAACGACAAAAACTAGTGTGATAGTTGGGAGTAGGATCTTTAGCAGATGGTACTTATTACTGGAGGTGGAGGGAGACTCGCCTTGGTGTTTCAAAAATGGTTGGCATGGAGGCATAGGGAAGCCACACAACCCAGAGTTGTTCACATACTGGCTCTCCGGAAAAGTGGCGAGGGATCCGAGCATAGGTATTGATCCATTCAGCCTATTGTATGATAGATCAATCTTCGACAATGATAGCATCGAAAATGAAATGGGGATTGGGCCTTCCAACTGGTTGTGTGACAGGTAAAGCATAGCCAGTTTCATGGAACCTCTAAGCTCAGCTGGGATGGCACCAGAAAGTAAATTATGCCCAAGATTCATAACCACCAGATGGTGCATCTTCCCAAGTTCCTTGGGGATCTCGAATTTGAGCTGGTTGAAGGACAAGGTCCAAGAATATCATGGAGCCATTGCGATTGAAGCTGAACTCTGTGCTGCCCATGTACCTCATTGTGAAGTTGCACAACTTATTAATAGCCATCTGGGTTAGAGACGCAGAACGGATGCCGGCAAACTCAAGCATTCTCGCCGTGCCACGACATTTGCTACTCTGCTTATCGTTGCCCAAGTATACGTATTGCCGCCCACGATAGATATTCGTCGCGGACATCTTCCCGGACTGCTTCGCCAGTTCCGGCGGTATTGATCCACTAAGCTGGTTGTCGTTCAGATCCAGCCAAACCAAACTCTTGCAATCTCCTAGCTCTGGCGGTATCAGCCCTGAGCTGAGAAAGAGTTATTGTTGAGAATCAAGATTGCAAGGTTGTCTAGCCGCCCCAGCCATGCCGGCAACGAGCCGGAGACCCGGTTGCTCCCGAGCGCTATCCATCTCAGGTTCTTGCAGTCCATAAGATCCGATGGGGTGCTGCCTGTGAGCCCGTTGCACTGGAGGATGAGGATCTCGAGTTGTCGAGCACCGGCTAGCGATGCGGCGATCTCACCCTACAGTTTGTTCTCCCACAGGCACTAGTGCAGAACCGGGCAATAGCACCGGTTCGTAAGGCCCTTTAATACCGGTTCCATAACCGGCACTAAAGTGTGGGCACTAAAGGCCCCCCCTTTAGTACCGGTTCAGCATGAACCGGTGCTAAAGGGCAACCACGTGGCACGAGCCAGCTCCGGGGCCGGGAGCCCTTTAATACCGGTTGATAACACCAACCGGTACTAAAATGTTTGGGGTTTTTTTGGTTTTATGATTTCTTTTTTATTTAATTTTGTATTTTTCATTTTAATTCTTTTTCGTTTGCTGGTATTTTACGATACTACACATTGTACACGTTATGCATATATAAATAAATAAATAAATAAATAAATAGAATTTCTAGTAGAACCAATCATATATATATCATCAATGTCTCACAAACCACTATATTAATTCACACATACACACATGTATAGTTATATACAATTTCTTCTACATATGCATGTTGCCTTCGAAGCCAGTGGCATTAGCCTAATTGATGCCTTCGGAGCACGATGACAATTGGAAGTGGTTCATGACCTGG